GCGCCTGGCCAGGACGCCACCGCCACGGTGGCGGCGCCTGGGCAGGACGCCTTAGCCACGGTGGTGGCGTCTTCTGTGGACGCCGCCACCGTGGCGGTGGCGTCTTCTGTGGACGCCGCCACCGTGGCGGTGGCGTCCTGGCCAAGCGCCAGTAGCCTTGGTTGTGGCGCTTGGGTGGGGCGCTGCCACCACGGCTCCTTCGCGATCCGGCGACTTTGTTTACTTCCACCGCGAAACCGCCTCCCGCCTCCGGTGCCGCCACTTCCCGTTTATTAGCCATAACAATGTGTTTTAAGATAAAAGTGTGTTTTTGATGTTGAGGGCAAAAATGTCATTTCATTTCAAATTTGTGGGCTTTATGTGGAGATTTGCGGGCGATGTTTAGCAATTCACTTTTTAAATCCTATATAAACTCATCTAATGTCCCACTCGATGAACGATGATCATAGTCAATCGTCATAAGTGTTAATTTTGCAAGGGGGTGGGTTTAATGATTATATTTTCACCGTGTTCACAATTTGAAAAGAAGTTGGTGTTAAACAAATACATGTAGTTTCACATATTTTATTTTCTTTCTATTTTCCTTCAAGAATTGGTTTGTATATATTTATTTAAATAAACAATTTACAAAATATACCGTGTTTATTAATAAAACCCGTGCATCGCACGAGCTTAAATCTAGTACTACCTATTTTCCTTGGTTTTTCTTGTTGCTTCACCAGTAATGGAGAAATTAAATTATATAATACTCCATCTTTGTCGTCATTATAAACTTTAATTAATTTACATGGTTCACCATTAATGGAGAAATCTCACAAGCAAAGGAAAATTTAGCTTTAATAGAGATCACTAGAGGAGGGAAAACTCGCTTACCCTTAAGGGTTAATCATGCCATTTATTTCTCAATTTTTTTTATTAGGTTATATATTCGCTTAATTCAGCAGCTATGTGGTGCCGGTGTCGATGGTAATAAGTGTTGGATTGTCGATAATGAAAATGTTGATGTTAGTGGTTGGTAGTAAAGTCGAAATTGGGGAACAAAGGTGAATAGGAGGACAAAAGATGAAGAAGATGAAGGGCAAATAGGAGGAAGAAGATGAATAGCTTGGTCTTCTAACGCCGTTATCAGCATGTGGCAACACATTTGCACAAGTAAAAATATTATTTTAAATTCAGCAATACATTTTTAATGCAATATATTTACAAAAGTGCCTTCGTGAAAAACTAAATGTGAGAAATTGGGCACGCCTCTTAAAATAGGTATTTTTAAGGCAATAGAATGAAAATTCATTACTAAATTAAAAACTTAATTAAAACAAAGGATATCAACAGATAACCTTCTAAAACTCCTTCGACTGAAAAAATCGAATGAGGAAACAACAAATAAACTACAAGCCCTGACCAACCCTATGAACTAGACCATACCACAATGGCAATAAATTCCCCCAAAAAAAACCCAAACTCGCATACCCAAAATTCCAAAATGGATTTATTTGAACACGTAGAAGATTTGAAGTGCTCCATATGAGATATGAGATAAAGCACATTATTACAAATAGTTATTACCGTGATAGTGAAGGACAATAAAATCTGAATTTTCCAATTTGAAAAAGTCTAAGGGACCCCATTATCAAACATCCTAAGAAGACATTATTTTATTTTTTTTTGAGGGCAGAAGACTTGAAGTCAACTAAAGATAAAAATGGAGAATTTTCAAATCTAAATATTTTCTATCTATAGTTTTTTCTATTTTTATATTATTTTTTGATTTTTTCTTCCTAAAAAAATAATTAGTGATTGGGATATTCCATGCCATTTAGTTTTGTTGTAATTAGAAGTATAAAAAAATCCTTGGAATAGTAATCCATAACTATATCTAAAGGGAAAGACTTGAAGTCAACTTAGTGAGCAAATAAGATCAGACTTTAATTTGTGGGATTGGTAGAATTTTCTAAGAAACCGATGTGTAGGGCTGTAGACTTCCATAGCATTTTGTACACGAAATATTTTTTTTAAAGAAAACAAATATTTGTATATTTGATTATTAATGAACATTGTAAGAAAAAAAAAAAAAATTAGTGATAGCTCAAATTACTATGTTTTTTTTTTTTTTTTTTTTTTTTGGTATATTAATAAAAATTTTGGTCAAAGATTTTAACCTTTAATCACTAAAATAAAAATGAGAAGGTATTGGGTGCAGATTGCCGCACGAAAATTTGCGTGCAGCAAGCTTGGCTGATATATTTCACTTGTTGGCAGATATGTTTCATGTGTTGGCTGATATGGTTTTTGTGTTGGTTAATATATTCCTTTTGTTGGCTAATAAGTTTTTTTTTTTATTATTATTTTTATTTATTTTTTTTTAATTTTTGATATGTTCGTTTTGTTGGCTACTATAAGACATCAGTTGGCTGATATGTTTCTTTAGTTGGCTGATATCTTTATTTTGTTGGCTGATATGTATATTTTAATTGTTGGCTTATATGTTTTATTTGATGGCTGATATGTTTATTTTGTTGGCTTACCTGTTGCTTTGTTTACTAATTTCATCCTTTTGTTGGTTGATATGTTTCATTTGTTGGCTGATATGTTCCTTCTGTTGGCTAATAAGTACCTTTTGTTAGCTGATATATTCCTTTTGTTGGCTAATAAGTATCTTTTGTTGGCTGATATATTATTATTTATCTTCCTATATTGGGTGCGAACCGGCCACACCCAATTTTGTGAATGAAAATTAGCACTATATTATGTAGAACGAATGAAGTATTATATAGGAAGATAAATAATAATAAGAAAAAAAATACATTGGAATTTAGTTAATTAAGGGAAAAATTCATGGGAATAATCCCACATTTGGACCATTTGTTTTTAATAATCCCACCTTTGAGATATTTTTTAATAATCCTACCTTTACCCCCAATTCTTTTTTAATGGTCCCAACTGGTCATGTAACCTGTTATAAACAGGACACGTGGCGGCCTGTGATTGGTCAAAAATTAATTTTTTTTTTTACAAAAATCAATTAGAAAAAACCTTTAAAAAAAATTCATACCCCTCCTCCTTCCCCAGCCACCCCTACCTTGGCCCACCCTCCCTTCCGACCACCCTCACCCCTCCCCTTACCCCAGCGCACCTGCTGCCCCTCCCCTCCCCTCCCTTGTCCAGTTTCTGACCACCCTTACCCCTGTCGCACTTGCTGCCCCTCCCCCCTCCTTTTTCAATATCCGGCCATCCTCACAGTTGAAGGCGAAGGCGAAGATGAAGATGATGTTGCGAGGGTGAGATTTGATCAATTTGAACAACTTTTTTGGGTTTTTGTTTTTCGAGGGTGAGATTTGCATGGGTGGGGTAGCTGGAAATCGATAAGGTTTTTAGGTGGGTGACCAAAAATCGAAGAGATGTTTGGGGGGTAGTCGGAAATCGAGAAGAGAGGGGAAAAGAAGGGTCGAGTTGTTCGAAGAAGGAATGAGGAAAGGGTGCGGTGAAGGGAGCTGGGGATTGGGTGGCCAGAGCCGCGGGGACGGGGGAGGCTGGAATCGTTGGTGGTTTAGGGGAGGGTTGGCTGGGTTTTTGGGGGAGGGGGTTAAGCGGCGCCGGCGTTGGGTGGTCAGAATCGGGGCGAGGGAAGGAAGGAAGGCTGGTGGGCTTGTTTTGGGGTTCGGATCTGGTGGGAATGGTGGTTCTAGGGTTTGGGTTTGGGTGGTGGTGGGGATGGTGGTGGCTGAATTGGGTTTTTAATTTTTTTTTGTTTTTTTTTTACCAATTATGTAATGACACGTGTAAATTAATATTTTTTAAAAAAAAAATTACCTACTCAACCGGTTTTAGGTAAAATGGGACCATTAAAAAAGAATGGGGGCTAAAGGTCGGGTTATTAAAAAATATCTCAAAGGTGAGATTATTAAAACCCGAATGGCCCAAAGGTGGGATTATTCCCATGAATTTTTCCTAATTAAAGTGGATATATATATATAAATAGAAAGCTAATGACAAGTAAAGGTTATACCGGGATCCCATGTTGAATTGTTGAGAGAAATAAGATTGAACCAGTAAAATTGGATTATAAAAATGTATGATCCTACAAAACTGGTAAAATGAGTAAACAAAGCAAACTGCTGCTACATAAATAGATACATCTTTCAAATATTAAAAATGCTAAAAGTTATTTAAGTAGTTGGATAGCCATTTCTAAGAAAATTGAAAGGTTATTTAATAATTAAGGGTTTATTTGGTATCGTTGTAATTTTCTGTTTTTTGTTTTTATTTGTTTTTTAAAATCATATGACATGTGTCATATATATAACGATTTAAAAATTAGTCAAACTTATTAAAATCATTGTAATTTTAAAAGCTGCAATAGAACCCATTGTTTGAAAAGGTTTTTTGAAATCATTGCTTTTATTTTCTGTAATGTTGAAAAGGTTTTTTGTTTAAAAAAAACTAAAAACTGAAAGCAAAAAATGATGCCAATTAAATATTGGATCGTTCGATCCTGATGAAGGTCTTGTTTACTTCACCTTAAGAAAATAATATTAAAAAATATTTTCAGTTTAGTAAAATTTATTTTATTTCAGTAAAAGTCAGTAACTTTAAAGAATAAATATAATAGAGAATTAGTAAAAATATTTCAGTTTAGAAAAATTAATTTCAGTTCAGTAAAAATAATTTAAGTTCATCGAAACTTATTTGCCTTTTGCACAAGTTTTAGGAAGTGAATTAATCTGCAATAATAAGATGATTGGCTTTGGTTGGTTAATAATGGAATGAGAAAAATTAAATAAAGTAAAAAAAGAAGTAAATATAGGTGAAATGAGACCGCCAAATACTGTCTGCTTAGCTCTCTATTATGCTGACTTATTCAAAGTAACAAAAACTATCCAAGTATACTCCAAATTCCTTTCGTTGTCATTTGCTGTAACTTTTTATGATACCTTTCACGGAGTACAATTCTAATGCTATCGTTATCATCATCTAGGAGTTACTAATTAATGCTACAATATTCTATATATACTTAGCACATAGATTAATAGATATTCATTCATTGATCTAGCCAAAGTTGGGTGACAATGGATTCTCATAAACTCCTCCTTTCTTGTTTTTTGCTATTTTCCTACTTCATTTGTGTTGCTCATGGGATTGATACCATTAGCACCCACCACAAAAACGTCATGTGTATTGAGAAAGAGAGAGAAGCTTTGTTGAAATTCAAAGAGGGTATTCAAGTCGATCGTTGTGGGCTGCTGTCTTCTTGGGGGATTAATGATGACAACAACAGAAATTGTTGTCAATGGCGTGGCATCCGTTGTAGCAACCAAACTGGCCACATAATCAAGCTTGACCTTCATGGGGTTGATATTTTTTATTTAGAGGATCATTGTTTGCAAGGTAAAGTGAGTTCTTCCCTTGTTGATTTGAAGCATTTGAGTTACTTGGATCTCAGCTTTAACTATTTCGACCAACCCATCCCTAGTTTTCTTGGTTCCCTTCTGAGTTTGAAATACCTTAACCTATCCAGTGCTGGATTCAGTGGAGAAATTCCACACCAGCTCGGAAATCTATCCTCCTTGATTTCTCTTGATCTTAAAAATTTCTTTCAAATAGATAGCATCGACGACCTTATTGTCAAAAACTTGTCTTGGCTCTCACATCTAAAATTGTTAAGATACATCGACATGAGTGGTATCGATCTTGAAAGAGCCATAGACTGGCTAAGAATCGTGAACGACCTCCCATTCTTAAGAGTTCTTCAGTTGGAGTACTGTAACCTTCCCTCTAGAGTTCCATGGCCACTTTCATACAAAAACTCCACTACCACTCTTTCATATCTTAGTCTTGCTGGAAATGATTTGAATGATTTATCAATATTCCAATGGCTTTTTAATTTGAGTGGAATGGACACTCACCTTGCACATGTTGATCTCAGTCACAATCAACTTGAGGGTCCTTTTCCAAGCGCATTTGGGAAGATGCATAATCTTTCATATCTAAATCTCTCTGGTAATCAACTAGAAGGTCGCCTTCCTGAAGCACTTGGAAATATGCATAATCTTTCATATCTAGATCTCTCTGGTAATCAACTAGAAGATCCCCTTCCTGAAGCACTTGGAAATATGCATGCTCTTTCGCATCTAGACCTTTCCAACAATAAATTGCAAGGTTCAATTCCAGACACAATTTCAAACATACAATCACTCCAATATCTCGACCTCTCATTAAATAAGCTCTCACAGTTTCCTAAAATAGGCAATCTGTGTAGCTTACAAGTACTCCACTTGGAAAAAGCCAACATCACCGATGAGCTTCCCAACATAATCCAAACACTAACAGGATGCGCAAACAAGTCCTTACTGGATTTATGTCTAAGTGATAATCAAATCTGGGGTCCAATTCCAGACACGATTGGCACATTTTCATTATTACAAGTGTTGCGTCTTGATCATAACTATTTGAATGGAACCATCGGTCGTCGTTTGGGGCAACTATCAATGCTCGAGACCTTGGATCTTTCTTCCAACTCTCTACATGGTACTCTCTGTAGCAGCCATTTCTCAAACCTGTCAAGATCATCGGTGTTAGACCTTTCAAATAATCCAGCACTGGTGCTCGATATTGAAGATGATTGGGTTCCTCCATTCCAGCTGGATACTATATCATTAAGTTCTTGCAGATTGGGACCAATCTTTCCAAACTGGCTTGTGAGCCAAAATACTTATTCCCATCTTGATATTTCTGCTGCTGGAATTTCAGACAGCATTCCGGATTTTTTTACATTGCCTTCAAAGCTCACTTATCTTAGTATGTCTAATAATATGATGTATGGAACACTTCCATATTTTGATGTACCAACCACAGATTCTATGCTTACCATAGATATGAGTTTTAACAATTTTGAAGGTGCAATACCACCATTTCCAGTAAACCTTACCTCATTATACTTGAATAACAACAGGTTTTCCGACCCCGTCCTCTTATTGTGTCCTAGAGGTGAAGTACGGCTATCCAATCTTGATCTCTCAAATAATTTGTTGTTCGGGAAACTTCCAGATTGTTGGATGAATTTCGAACAATTATCCATTCTCCATTTAGAGAATAATAACTTTTCTGGTGGTATACCACCTTCCATTAGTTATTTGGAGCGATTGGAGTCGTTGCACTTGCGCAACAATAGTTTTTCGGGAGAACTTCCAAGATCATTAGAGGATTTCACATCCCTAGTTTTTCTTGATCTTGCTCATAATTCATTTACTGGACGTATATTGCCAGGTATTGGTACTAATCACGAAAGTCTCAGTTTTCTAAGCCTTGGAAACAATAATTTTGTTGGAGAAATACCTTTGAGCCTTTGTCAATTGCCCTTTCTTCAAATCTTGGATCTCGCTGTCAATGAAATTTCTGGAACCATTCCAAATTGCATTGGTAATCTTACAGCAATGCAAAGTACAACAGATATGCTTCCACAATTGCAATATAATGGCATTGGCTCTAATTACGTGATCGCTATTGCATACACTGATGCTGCGACGATTATGTGGAAACAAACGGAAAGGAGCTTTGGGAAGTTTATAGGACTAGTCAAGCTTATTGATCTTTCAAACAATAAGTTGGAAGGAGAAATTCCCAGAGAAATTTCAGCTCTGCATGGTCTCGTCTCCTTAAACTTATCAAGAAACAGTTTGGTTGGAAGCATCACACCGGAAATTGGACAATTGACAGCTTTAGAAGTTCTTGGTTTGTCAAACAACCACCTCTCTGGTGAAATCCCTGCAAGCATCACTGCTTTGAGTTCTCTCAGCAACTTGGATTTGTCAAACAACCACTTCTTTGGAGAAATTCCGAAGGGCACTCAACTTCAAGGTTTCAATGCTTCAGTATATGCTGGAAATCCTCAACTTTGTGGAGCTCCTCTCTCGAATTGCTCTTGGGATCAACCACACCACAACTCGACGAGGGGTGATAATACTACTCCCCACGATGACACTGATGATGACAAGATGTTTATTGTGGGGTTGTACGTAAGTGTGGTGCTCGGATTTATCATAGGATTTTGGGGAGTTTATGGAACATTGGTGGTCAAAAGATCTTGGAGACGTGCCTTTTTTCAGTTCTTTGATGACATGAAAGATAGGCTCTATGTCATGGTTTCATCCAGTAAGTTCTTAATCAATTTTTTGTTGATCTTGACAGAATGTTATTGACTGTATTTACGATATATCTAATAAGATTGCATTGAATGTGACATATTACAAATATGCAGCAGGCTGAGGTTCAGTGCTAGAGGAATCGACTTATCTAGTACCAGTTTGAGATGCTCTTAGCATTGCTAGGAAGTTTCAATGAACTGAGGGTCTGGATGGAGGAAAGCCCTCCGGATGTTAGTCGACATATCCTTACTGAATTCATCTTAATAAAATCTATCCTGTTTTTCTGTTACCAAAAAAAGAAAAAGGTTCAACTCACCTTAGCTTGCTAAAGAATGTAATGTATCTGTAATGTAATATAATCGATGTGATTCTTACAATATTTTGCAATCAAAATTAAATTCTGAGTAAATTTATCAGCAAAATATTGTAAATTTTCTCAGACTTGTTCAACTTGAGTGGGATCAACGCTCATCTTAGCTTGTGCAGTCGATCTCTCTCATAACTCATCTTGATCTTTCTAACAATCAACTTGCTGATCCTATTCCTACTGCTATTAGGAATATACGTTACCTTTCATATCTTTCAAGTTGGGTCTGAGTATAGTCGGGTACAAATCGAATTCGGGTCAAGTCAAATCGAGTTTATATGAAATCGGATCCGAATTTTTTCAACTTTAGTTGGATCAAAATGAATTTATTAGACTTTGGATCAGATCATTTTGGATTCGATAAGATCTAGGTTCCAATCAATTCAATTTCGGTTAAAATTTGGGTAGGCTTACTTCAATTATTAGCTCATTTTCGATTAGAATTATTTTAGTTTCGATTATTGGGTCGTGGAATATGAATTCGGGTCAGTCTCAGTTTGAGTCATTTTAGTTTCAAGTATATTAGCATATAGGTAATATCATTTTTGTTATTAGAGATTTCAATTCATATTTACACTGTATAATTTTTCAGGTTTCATTTAAGTTTTGTGTTGGCTTTTTCAGAATTGGTATAAGATTGACAACTCAAGTCATTAAAGAAAATGATTACTTATCGCCTTATTTGGTGTTTATCATGTCATTGTAAAACGTCTTTTTTCTTACCATTTTGCATTTATCGTCTTTCCGGCTATTAATCATCTTCAATTATTCATTAGCAACTCATCGGTTATGGTCATGGAAAATTTAATTTGGCTTAGGTTATTATTAATAGGTTGGGTTTAATTAGACCATGAGTAGTTTCGAGTCGATTTTAATCGATACATGGGAAGTTTCAAGTCGGATAAATAAAGGTCGGGTAAAAAGAGATATTTTTCAAGTCTAAATGGTTTTAGGTAGTTTTCGGTTCGGGCCAAATCAATTTCGGATCTTGAATTATCCGGTCTTATTGGTTTCGGATTAACTATGAGTCGATTTTAAGTTGGGTTTGGATCATACATTACCGGTTGAAGTCGGTTTCAAGTTAACTTCAAGTTGACTCCAGATCAAATTCGGATAAGATCTAACAAGTTTGAAAACAATTCAGTTTCAGGTAAATCTTTCGGGTCGGTAAATTTTTGACACCCCTAATTATCACCGTGAAAGTGAAGGACAATTTAATCTGAATTTTCCAACTTGAAAAAGTCTAAGGGACCCCATTATGGCATTATCAAACACGGTAAGAAGACTTGAAGTCAACTTTTTTGTTGTTTTTATTTTTTAGATCAACTTTTTTGTTGTTAAGGGAAAGACTTGAAGTCAATTTAGTGAGCAAATTTAAGATCAGACTTTAATTTGTGGGATTGGTAGAATTTTCTAAGATACCAGGCTTCCATAGCATTTTGTATGGAAACTAGGTAGTACGTATGCGATGTTCGGGATGTTAACTCGGTATATTTATATGAAAAGTGATCGATATTATTAAAAATAGGAAGGTGATAAAAAATAAAAAATAAAAATCACAAGAAGCAAAATACTACTACGTATAATTGAAATCATTAGTGTAACAACTTTGATTGGATAAACTTGGATAGAAAACTAACCAACCAAATGGCAGCAAAAAAAATAGGAGGTTGTTATGAAATATTGGGTGGATGCCTATTATCCTTCTTGTATCATCCAGAATATTCTAAATCTAGGGTTTTTTATTTCCAAGTAAACCCTAATTATATTGTATGTGTATATATTCCAATCATATGGAATAAAGATACATATTACTTCTCTCTCAATCTCTCTCCTATTCCCTTTATTTTATAATACGTTATTAGCATTAAAGCTCTAAACCATCAATTTAATTAGATTAAAACCTAGCTAACCATCTAGATCAAGTTTCCGACGGACTTTTCCGGTGCCGGAAAATCACTTCCAATGACTGATTTTCGTCGAAAAAGTGTTTCCGACGGAATTTCCGTCGGAAAAGATCGTTTTTCCTACAAAAACGTTTCCGACAACCGATTCTGATGGAAATTCCGTCGAAAACGTGTTTTTTGACGGATTTCAGGGTGTTTCCGACGGAATTTTTCCATCGGAAATCGGCATATTTCTTGTAGTGTATTCAGCTTTATGGAACACATGACAAAAACACTTTGGCTGAAGGATGTGATGTATCTATAATGTAATATAATTCATGTGGTTGTTAGTTGTTACCATATTTTGCAATAGAAACTGAGTAGAACTATCAGCATAATGTTGTCAAGTTTCTCAGACGTGTTAAACTTGAGTGGCATCAATGCTTGCCTTAGCTTGTGCACGTCTATCTATTTCATAACTCACTCTCAGGCCTCATTCCTGATGGCCTAGCTCAGTGCCTCAGTTGCCACAGCGCGAATCTTTAGTCTTGTCAAATAACAAATTAGAAGTAAGGAAGTATTCCCTTTAATCTTGGGAAGCTTTCGTCTCTAAATTCCCTTGATTTGTTAAACAATAGCCTGTCCGGGATTACACTCCAGCTGCAGGCGCTTGGGGGGTTGCACTTTGCAACTAATTTTGGCATTTGTGGACAACCAAATATACAGAAATGAGGCCATACATACGGATGATGTTTAAATTATCCAGGATTGCACTATGTACGTCAGTACGTGAGTGTCGGGGTTGGAATCTACTTCGGATTTTGAAGAGTAGTCTGGCACTCTAGTGTTGAAACATTATTGGAGATATGCATTATTTCAGTTCGTGGATGATATCATGAACAAAATTTATGTGACAATTACTATATATATACATGCTCAGGTTTCAGAGAAAATCTCAACTATAACGTGTAATCACATTAGAGACGTTCTATGCAGTTTGATTGGATTTGAGTTTGTGTTGAAAAATGGGTAACCTATTTTTGTGCTCATGCATTGACTTGTTTCATTGAGAAGAATATCAGAGATTTTGCTCTTCATACAATTGGAAAATACAAGATCATATGTTAAATATATTGACAAAGTAGTTTTACATTTTGTTTTCATTTTATTTGCAATACTTTTTATTTTATACTTGCTAGTGCTTATTTCAGTCATTGATACATTTAATTATCAATAACAATTAAAAAAAAAAAAATTGATTTAATGACTATTATAAGTTGTGGCATATCCAAGAAGACCATGTTTTTCTCGTTAAAATAATAATAATAATAACAATAATAATTATAAAAAAAAAAAAAACAACTATTTCTTATTGTCACATTAATATATAATGTGCAACATAAAATATTATAAAATTTAAATTAAAAAAAAAAGTAAATAAATAATAATAATAATAATAATAATAATAATAATAATAATAATAATAATAATAATAATAAAAGAACCGTATTTCTCCATAACCATAAATCACTGAAAATAGTCAATATAAATGCACAAATCTAAAGACTGCATGTATAAAGAACGGAATTTTCAACATATACCCCGGAGTTTTTTGTTTATTCACCATATACCCCTGAACTTTTTTGAATTCGTCATATACCCCCGAGTTTTCACAAAAATACACCATATACCGTACCCTTGATGAATAATGATTGTTAACTTCGTTAGTCATTAGGGTTAATTATGACCCGAAATCACCGTATATACATTCCACTACCTCTAAAACCACCCTAATTCCTTTTTCCCACCCCCAAAACCACCCCAAATTTCTTTTTCTCATCATCAAAATCAATCATACGGATATGGATATGGAGATTTGGAATGGTTTAGGGGGTTGAATAAAGGAGAGGAGTGATTTCGGGGATGGAGCGAGAGATTATTTAGGGTGGTTTCGATGCATAATTAACAAAATCCCACTTATTTTGTTGTCATTAGGGTATATGGTGAATTTTTATAACAACTCAAGGATATATGGTGAAAAAACCGTATAAAGAAATAGAGGAAACAATAAAGTATAATGGTTTGAAGACATGGGATATTAGAGGTGTCCACCGTGCGAGTCGTGCGAGCTGGGTTAGGGTTAGGTGGGTCGCGGGTTGGGGTTTCATGACACACGACACGACACACGTAGGGTAGGGTGGGCCGGGTCGTGGGTTGGGTCGGAGAAGTTGGACACACCAGGGTTAGGTTCGTGGGTTAGACGAGTCGTGGGTGGGTCGAGCTGGGTTCGTGGGTTAGACGGGTCGTGGGTGGGTCGAGCTGGGTTCGTGGGTTAGACGGATCAAGGTGGGTTAGTGGGTTAGGGTGGGTCGAAGGGTGGGTTAGTGGGTTAGGGTCGGGTGGGTTCGTGGGTTAGGTGGGTTAGGGTCGGGTGGGTTAGGTGGGTTAGGGTCGGGTGGATTCGTGGGTTAGGTGGGTTAGGGTCGGGTGGGTTCGTGGGTTAGGGTTGGGTGGGTTCGTGGGTTAGGGTCGGGTGGGTTGTGTGGTGTTTTAATTTTTACAAAATTAACAATTTGATGGCTTGCTCTTAATTAAGATGCCTACGTATCCTTATATTATAAAATAAGGAATCAAAGCCAACATAGTTCTTATATTGTACTTCTTTTGGAATTTGGGGGGGGGGGCTTGGACCTATCTTTAGAAAACTAAAATTTAATTTTGCAATTAAATTGTAATTTTCAAAAAATAAGTTGCCTACGTATCCTGAAAGAATCAAAGCCCACGTAATTCTTAGCGTACCTGATTTAGAATTTTCTAGCCACCCATGTTTGTTGCATCATCATCCCCGGAAGCTGCATCATCCGTTGACGACTCCAATATCATCACAGGATCATCTTCATCGTCTTCGTCTTCCTTTAAACCTGAGTTCTTCTTTCAGCTTGATCCCAATCTTTCTTACAAACACAAATTTGAATGCTTTCCGGAGTTAAGCGAGATCTTTTTTCATCTAACACTCTTCTACCTGCACTAAAAGCAGACTCGGAAGCAACAGATGAAACGGGAACTGCAAGTATATCTTTTGCAATTCTCGCCAATATAGGAAAACTTTTTTTATGTTCTTGCCACCATTTTATAATT